AGGTCCATATCCCTCACTTCGACTAAACCTGATTCCAAGCAAATGTACTGATTAAATCATTGTGGTATTTCCCATAATTCAAGGCGAAATGACATAGCGATTATTATGAAAAGACCCACTCCGCTTTGATCGAATGGAAACTAGCAAAAGATCGTGCGGTTTATGCCCATTGCATCAAACATATAGCTTGAAAACGTCGTACCCAGCGCAGCCAGCTTAACCAGTAAGGTGAGAGCTATTAGAAGAAGAATAGCTCGCATGGTTGCTGGTTTGACTCGCTCCACCGGCGATTAGGCTAAGGTATTTAAGTTTTCCGATCGCTATTCCTGAAAATAAATGAAGTCATCCCTTTTCCCGCCGTTTAAACCTGTATATCGCCAGGCCAGCGTTTGAAACCTTCTCTAATTCTAATTCTTTTAATTGGCCCTTTAAGCCATCTATCACAGAGTTAAGCAAATTTCTTTTTTTTGCGAGACAAAAAACAGCGCAGACGACGATTTTCTTAACGCAGTCATAGAAGAATCTTTTTGAATATATACGATGTATCTTAGGCAAAAACATATCAAAAGCACATATAACTTCCTGATATCTTCCACTCTGACTGGCCAGATTTCGCAGTCGTATAGAAAGATTCTGCATATTACAACCAGATGAATGCATTTGCTTTGGGACTGACTTCGTGGCCTGACGAAAGAAGGCAGCTCTGCTTTAGCCATCCAAGTCTGGAATTTCATCTTTCACTTGATCATTAGTTATAAGAGTGGCTCTGAAATATTTAAAATCTGGAACCTCCTCGACCGTTGATAAATTTATGCAGCATATTTATAAACTGTGATCAGCGTTTTATATTTACGTTTTATAAGACAAAAACATTCCGTTTTATTTATATTGGTTAGAGGCAAGATTGGGAAAATGTCTCAGTTACCCTCAATTTTTAACTTGAGATGGCCAAAAGGCCTCGCTACGGAGCACGCTACGTTTTGCATGTTGTCGGTTTCATTTTTGGCTCCAACCATGAAGTGGTCTGACCCGTGGAAGTTCGTGCAACTTCGTTCCATGATATCCATGATTTTAATATAGAACTCTTTCACCAATGATTGACCAGAACGTAATTAGTGTGATTGGAATCTTAATTGTCTGGCGAATTATACGCAACTTTTTCTAAAATAGCAAAAGCATGTATTGGTGGTAAAAAAATCCATGCCACTGGGCATTTGGCCTGAACGTGATATTTGCCGATCACAAAAGATAAAGGGACATCCTGGCGCGCATTCCAACCTCCCGCGATCTACATCGCTCTTTGAAAGATATACTCAGCGTAGGGGAGTACAGATAATGCAAAACCGATAATACTGATAATCCAGACGATGCAAAAATAGCTTTTGAAATGGGAATAGAGCCAACCGGTCATTAACAATATTCCACATGATTGTGCCCTTTGGGACAGTGGCAACTACATTTCCTCTTGAGTTTTTAACAACACCACTACGATGCAGCCAGTAGTCCTTATGCGAACCAGATAATCATTACTCTGTACCCAGAAAACAAAAACTTCCTATAGGCGAGCAATATACGGATAAAGCATGGAGAGTTGTTCTGTTTCTCGATATGTGTAAGCATTTCATGCAGCTATGGACAGGATTTCTCAGCGTGCCATTAACATTTACTCAAATTCCTTAACTGAATCGAAGCAATTCCCTGAGCTCGAGGACTTACACGTTCATCTTCAATATTACTTTAACTACTTCCAAGCCAATTTGTATATTTATCGCATGTACCACTAGATAAATTACATCATCGAGATTGCACGTCGAGACATCAGGAGATCGTTTGATCCTACAGTCACTTGGGGATAGAGTCACTCGGATTTCAATTTCAATTTTATGGCACTCTTGTCCACATAAAAATAATTTGAGGAAGGTTGAAAAAATTAATTGAAATTGAAATCAATTGAAAAGAAAAAAAGTTAAAATTATAAAATTAAAATTAAATTAAAATTAAAAATATTAATGAAAAATAATATAAAAATAATATAATTTTTATCTAATAGGTCATTCTATCCTCCAACAAAATAATAAATAAAACCAATCAAATTAAATTATTATTTACTTTATTATTGTGTATTTATTGTTGAAAAAAGAAAAATAAAACAAACAAGCCAAACAAATAATTTACAACTTTTTTCAAAAACTTGGAACTGGTATTTCTATAATTGCATCAAAAAAATAAAAAAATAAGATATCTAATCTGAAATAAAATTAATAAAATTATAAGTTTTTAATGGGCCACAAAAATGGGTCGAATAGTATCTTTCGATCTGCGTTCAGCATTAGAGGTAAACCTCTTGATTGGCTGTTTGAATCAATGTCGAATTCATATTCATACTGGTGGTTCAAAATATCAATCATGTTTCGCCCATGTTACTCTTAGAGTGAATTTGTTATAAAATCTGTGTCTCTCCAAGCTCTTAAACAAAGGGAATCTAAAAACAAAGCTAGCCAAACCAGAAAAAAAACATTTTAAAAAATCTTATTCGAAAAATATTTAAAAATTAAAAAACTATCCATAAATATCAAAAAAATATCAAACAAAATAACAAAATATCAAATAAAATAAAAGATTTAGAGTAGAATGGTTGTTGATCAATTCGAAGTGCCGATGCTGAGTAGAAACTCTCTGGAGCAAACCTGTCCAAAAATCCTGGCGACTCACCTGTAGTTTTATCGCTAAAGGATGGCATAGTTGACCAGTGTGACAAGTCGACGGAACGAGTCTAACCAATAATGCTGAAGGCTCTTAAAAAAAATTGAAAAATATTTAACAAAGTTCAAAAATATTCAAAATTATCAAAAAATATCAAGTATCAAAAACAAAACAAAAATTCATTTATTATTAAAATAATTAAACATTTAAATAAATATAAATATAAATATTTCACTCGATTAATTTTTGAATTGATAATAGGTCTATAGCAATACCAAGGAACACCAGAAAGAAGGAATGTGAGAAGTTAGAGAAATATCAAGGGCATATCAAGAGAAATAAAATAGGAACTAAAGAAGACGTGGAAAGTAAAAGCCAAGGTAATTAACAATGATAATTGGAGAATTTGGAATTCTGAAACTAGAAAAATGGCTTCCAGGAAGAACATCAGATATGGCTATTCCGAACAGAGCACTATTAAGAATAACTAAAGCACTGTGCAGAACCCTCAATCTCCCAGGCCTCTGGTAAGCAGCCAAGGTTGAGGATGGTCACTGTTTACAGAGAGTGAGAAAAATTCATTAGCAAAATATTAAAATTTCACCTCATGTATTGGCTTAAGCAAGATTTTGTCAAATTAGCTCTAAGCATGGCAAGAAACTATTAACGACTACCCGAAAAGCCGACTCTGGGCCATATTGTTCAGGGGTGGGGTTCCCCACCATGCCACTATCAGTGCATATCCCCGAGGCGTCCTGCAGCCTTTCGCGACCACTGCGACCATTTAATTCCCAAACCCAACTAGTGCCTTTCTGAGTCGCATCCCCTCGCGTCTGGCTAACTTCCGCGGAATTGTGCCTCTGCTTAGCGCCGATATTCAGTGGTCGTTTCAAAGGTGTCGCGGATATCACTGAAATGCGTTTACTCTCCCCAAATTTTTTAGCTTAAAATTATTGCGAGCTTTCGACCGAATTTCTTCCTCTTCGTTCTCAGCCTCAACTTCCTTTAAAAAATGAAAGAATGATAAATTCCAATAGATAACATCAAATAATTTATAAATACAAAGGAAAATGCGAAAAATATTTCCTGGCAATTAAACGACAAGTTATCGCGGGTAAGTCGAAAATGTGGAAATCAACATCGGATCACACTAAAAGTCGGATACAATTTAAAGGCTGAGATGTAGTGGTATTTCTTATTTTTTAAAAATAATCTAACGAAGGCTTTGCCGCCAGTTTTTGTTTTTTTTGGTTATTTAGTATTCGATTATTTAATCAAAAATTGGGAAATCCGTTAAAAGATAAAAAAATAAAAGAAAAAAATTTCATTTTAAAAATTCATCGCGAACTGAATTTTTGCTGCGGTGAAGTCCGCCGGAAGAAAGCGAAATTGGCCGCCGCCGCTCGGCTTCTTCGACGACGGCTCCTCTGCTCGTTTCAGCGATCCCACCTTACTTTCCTTACTTTTCCTTTAAATAATTTCAGTAAACTGAATTTCGACTTGGTTCGTTTCAGTTTTTTTGCATTTCATAATTTTTCAACTAGAAAAGAGTATTTCTCAGCTATTTGGCTGAAAACAGCGACAACGGCGAGCATTCGTCCTTTTCTCTCGTTGCACTGCTTTTGCATTTCTCTCTCTACTTGCACGGATTTCCTCCCCTCATTGCCTTCACCCCAGCCTAAGCCTCCTTCCTTTCCAGTCTCGCTTTTCCGATTTTCGTTGTCGCTACGCACCAGGTGACCACAGTCATGCGACGGATTTCTCATTTCTAATTTGAAATTTGAATTTCACCATTTTTATTCGTTTGTTAATTTGAAGCTGAATGTCAAGTTGTTTTTTTAAAAATAATTTTCTAGTGATTTTGATTTTGAATTTTTAATAAATAAATAAAACAATCGGTAGAAGAGTTTCTTTAAATAAGAAATAAGTTTAAAAATAATACGTAAGAAAGTAATGTGGATAAACGAAATGAATAATGAAATGATATTGTTCCTGTCTCTTTATGCGATTATTTCTGGTGACGTTGTTTAACCATCCATATGCTCCTTCTTCAGGTGGCTCTGGCGAAAGGACCTCACCTTACTACTCAATGGAGCTAGCAAAATCAGAAATGTTGTTTTGAGAAGACTCATTTTTGGTTTGCTTAACTTCATCGATGGCTAAGGTGAGTTCCATTTGATGATTTTTGATGCTCGTCTTGTATACAATCGTAGTATAAATAATTTGTATAAATTGATATAAATAAATTGATTCCAAGGAAATGCGAATTATTTATCTACTTTTTGTGTAGGATTTCTATGGATGAGCTGAAAGAAAATTCGCAACCGACATCTTTAAAACGGACACTGGAAGAAACAGAAAGCGAACAATTGTCAGGAAAGAAACAAAAATTTAATCTGAATAAGGATGAACAGGAATCTGCGACGAAAAAATTGTTCCACGAAAGAGTTGAACCTGTATCATCGAGTCAACAAAGCGATGTTCGTTTATTCATTCACTTTGTTAACTTATTTATTTAGATGGAAACGGGTCATACGCTTGTGTTTTTTTTTTTTTAAACTGATAGAGAGTAAAATTAATCTTATGAAAAAAAGGTAATTTCGCTCATTCGAAGTTTGAGGACAAAAAAGTACTTATAGGCGGTAGTGTTCGGTGATGAAGATAATGAGAAAATGTGCTATTCGTTAATTACTACCACAAGGAATGAAAGTGATACGGGGAAAAGAGCGAAAAGTTCGAGAAATGAATCAGGAGAGCGAAAAGAAAAAGAACGCCGATTAAAAGTTGAATTAAAGCAACTTCGATTAAAACGTGCTGAAGAAACGAAGGAAAAAAAACTTCAGTTACAGGTTGTATAATATAGCTCTTTCTTGCTTTTTTCTGCTTTTTTTTATAATAAAAAAATAATGTAATATAAACATATTTATGAATTCTTTTGATAATAAAGTTACAGGGATTGCGCAGGTCAAAAAAATCTCCCATCTAAAAATATATAACACTAAGTGCAAATGTTATTTCTTGAATTTGATTCTAATTTTCTTCATATATAAGCAACTTGATATGAAAGTTTTTACCTGCTATTTCTAAAAAGCTTTTGTTTGGTGGATTTGAAGTTATTTTATTTTAATTTAGAAAGAGCGAGAACAAAAGAAAATTGAGAAAGAAAGGTTGGTTTCATTGTTTTATTCAATTTCTCTTTCGTTTTGATATTTCGTTTTTGTTTGAATTTAATATGACGGTGGAATAATTTTAGAGAAAATAATAATTGAAAATAAAGGCATAAATAAAGAGGTTTAAAAAATTAAGTCTGTCTCAGTGGATGTATCAAGTTTATCGAAAGGCTGATTCTTGGCACTTCAAATATTTTTAATATTAACATATTAATATTTTTTTCTCGATACATCAATATTTTTTAATAATCAAGAAAAAGAGGATAATGGAAGCTCTTTTCTTTAATCGTTAATAATTTTATTCAGAGAAAGAGAAGAACAAAAAAAACGAGCCGAAGTACGGAAAAGAATTTCTAACGAATTAAAAAAAGCCAAAGAATTGAAGCGAAATGAAGAGGAATTAAGGAAAGTACGAAAACGAAAGGAAGAGGAATTGAGGAAGGAGCAAAAACGAAAAGATGAAGAAGAAAAGAAAGAAAAAAAACAAAAAGAGAAAGAGGTGTCATATTTTTTTATGTTATGAAAATTTTGTTCTCATAATTGAATTAGCTGTGGCAAACTGTTTTGTTTGAAGTAAACATTAACAATTGACAATCTTTCAAACTTTCTGATCAAAATTTTTTAGGCAATAGAAATGAAGAAAAAACGTGAATCAGATAGGTTCTTATCATTTTTTTCAAAAAAGGAGCGACCACGTGTAATAACATTATCAACTGATCTCCAAGGGCCATTTCTTCCATTCGAGATTAAAGAGGGAATGACTGTGGCACCAGCATATCGTAGGTCACCACTTTCGCCTAACACGTACCAAAACTTATTGAATATTCCCATCGTATGTTTTAGTTTTTAAATTTAATTTAATTTATTTTTAAATTTAAGCAGTGAAAAGTATTGATTATCATCTTTTTATTCTACAATTTGTGGATAAAAACTTAATATATCATTCAGAACATTTAGAACTTTTAGGTTTTAGATTTTATGGTTTAGATCGTTTCATTTGTTTTTACTTAAATTTGTTTTGAATTGTATATCTATGATATTTTTTTCAGAGCGAGTCATATTTGAGCAATCTTCCTCGTCTCTTACCCACCAAAAAGTTTGTTTTGTTTTACTAATGACGCTAATCGTACTGGTTTAGATAGCGTTAATATGCATTAATTATTTAAAATATTGTTACTAGTTTTATTTTGTTTAGCAGAGATGATACTCGAGCTAAACTTTATCAGTTTCATCACAGTTATCGTCCTCCTTATTATGGAACTTGGCGCAAGAAAAGCAAAGTGATAACTGGTAGGAGACCACTGGCGAAAGATCTTGAGGTTTTCATTCTGCATTCCTTTTTTCGTTATTATTTTTGCAATTCACAGTTTGGGATTTTTAAAGTGGTAGTTTTTGCCAATTTTTGCCAGAGTTAATTTTCTCTTAATATTGAATTTGCTCCCACATAAATAAATTATAAATAAATAAATTAGTATTAGTTAATTAGCATTAATAACAAAAAATGAAATGTGATTGTATTTTTTATTTTATTTATCTATTAAATATTTTAGATATTTATTTAAATCTATACAATTTTAAAATATTTATTTTTTGTATTTTTTGGATTTTAAACTTTTATAAATGAAATAAATCTTCACTTTTTTATTATCAATTTCGTTAAAATTTCGAAATTTATCATTTGTTATTTTAAATTTTGAATTTTTTTAAAAAATATTTTATCAGTAATTTTCATCAGTATTTTCTCAGTACAATTTTCATCGAAAAATCGATTTCATAGAATTATATTTATTTTCAATGTTTATTTTACTTTGTTTTCAATTAAAATTTTTTTCTTGTTGAAATTTTGTGAAATTTTGCAGTTAATAAATTACGATATTGAATCAGATGAAGAATGGGAAGAACCGGAAGGAGATAACTGTGAATCGAATGAAGATGAAGTATTTGTTTGTAAATTTTATTTTTCTTTAAAATTGTTTTGAAAAATAATGCGTGAATTTAGACATCTAGCGATGATGATGGTGAGGAATCTGATGAGGAGAATAAATTTCTTGTTGAACATGGTTATTTATCAGAAGACGAAGGTGTAGATACAGATACGGATAAAGAATCCATACAAAAAGAAGATAGGGAAAAAAGGAGAGAACGTTTAAGAGAAAAGGTTTTTTGTTTATATTACCGCTGTTTATTATTAATCTCTAGTGCTGGAATAGGTCATAACCAAAGTTTTTTGTCTTGAAAAAATGAAAATATCGTTTTCTTTTTTTTTAAATTTTAATGTATTTGAAGAAAGATTGCAAGATAAATTGCAAATGTTAAAAATCGGATTATCGGATTACGGAGAATCGGAGAAGAGAATATTTCTTATAATTGGCACATTTTCTCTATTTATGTGCTTTAATTACATATTTTCGAAAAACAATTTCATTTTTTGGTAGATTCATTTCGAAATATCGAAGTTTATTTAAATTTTTTTATTAAAAAATTTCTAATAGTTTTTTTTTTATATAATAGGCAGAAGAATGGAAACAAAATATTGAACAAAAAGTGAAAAAATATGAAAAGTTGATACCAATTTTGTATGGGCCAAAATTCGATGAACCATCACCTGCTGCTTCTTTATATATTCAACGTGCATTTGTTATTCCATATTGTGATAATGGAATTGGAAAATTTTCTAAAAAGCCCGATGATATAAACGAATCGTTTTGAAAACGATTCTTTTGGGTATAATAATCATTTCTTTATATAAAGCAGTTTGTAAGTAAATTCGTGAATTGATTTGAAGGTAATCCTTTCTTTGTCTTTGTTTGATAAACTTTTCACATTATGTGTCGTTAAAGTAAGGAACAAGTGAGTAAAGAATTGATGCATTTAAATAATTATCTGAAATTTTTATTATCCAGTTTGGATTATTGGACCTTTTTCATTATTTATTTCAACTTTTATATTTGAAAGAAGGTGATTTTAAATTTCTTTAATTTTCTAACATAGTTTTTTAATTTTAAAGTTAAGTCCACATTCACTATTTTATATTATTATAATAAATATTTCTTAATTGATCGATATTTTTTAGTTTATTGTAAGTAAGCGATTTGCCAATTATAGCCTAAAGCTTACTTTTTCAATTTACGCCTCAATTTTCTTTGACGTCTAATTCATTCATCCAGTCAGTTTGCAAGCCATATATATCCTTCTTTTCGTCCGTTACTTCCTACGTTTCAAGATCATAGTTTATTTTCATTTTCATACATGTTTTTTTGGTTAGTTTTGTCGCACTGCCTTCATCAGAGCAATATTGAAGTATTGAAAATATTTACACTTTAATTTTTGGTGAATTTTTGGTTTATTGATAGTATTATGGTACTTGTCACTTACCTGGCCACCGTTGGCGCCACATGTTAATGAGGAAATGGTGAGAATGCAAAAATATAATGTTGAGGTAAAAAAATTTATAGAAGTGCAAAGAAATCCTTTACCAATGTATAAACTTGTCTGTGGATCAGTTAACTGGCAAATGCCAGCTTTAGGTGGTTGTAATTTGTGCTTTGATAATTTTTAATAGCTATGTGGTTATGTGTTTTAATATGTTTAATAGTTAAAATTTATTGTAATCTTTAAAAAGTTCCTTAAATTTTAAAAATTCACCATTTCTGTTTGACATAAAATAAATCGAACTTTTCAAGTTTTGTTTTGAAAAATTTTTCTTTTTCTTTTTTAATATTTCTTTGAAAAAAAAAGGATTTGAAAAATGACCTAAATTATTTTTCGTTTTCCTGTAAATCATGGATGAAATCCTAAATAACTCCACGAAATCTTTTCTGAATTGTGGTTAATCTTTTATTTTTCAAATATTTTCCAAAATAAATGAGATTTGAGAAAAAAGCGATGCTTATGAGAGAAAAATTTTTTTTAAATTTTTCGTTAAAAATAAAACATTTTTATAAAAAATTGAAATCGCTTCCATATAACATGTTAAAGCTCGACGAGTTCATTATTATTCATTTTATGTTTTGAGTGAAAGAAAATGGTTCCAATAGTTCTGACCTTTGACATTTAATTTTAATTGGTAATTGCTAGTCGAAAAAGTTATTTGATCGATTTCGAAATGGATCGGAGAGGATTTTTGCCGATGAAAAATTTATTTTGAGACATGGAGAGGGAATTTCACTTTTGTTTATTTTTCGAGTTCTTTTCTAACAAAAAGGCCCGGCCGCAGTCCACGAGGGTCAGGGGTCACGGCGGTAGAGAGATGGTGGAGAGTGTGAGTGAGGGTGTGTTGCGGGACGGAGAGAGTGGATCGTCGTGCAAGCAAGCGATCAATAACATTTTGTGTCGGTGTATTGGTTGTTTGTGTGTCATGGCTGCTAAGCTGCGTCAGCACTCGTTGTCCAGCGTTCGGAAATTGCAAGAAGTTGGTTTTTCGTGTTATTTCCATTTTAAATTATCAAATCGGTCTGAAATAGAAAAATCAGAAGTTTTGCGGAATGGCAATAAAAAGGTTTTTACCTTCCAACGATCGGTCACCGCTTTATTTATTCATTATTATTTTTATTTATCATTCATTACAATTATAGATTTTTAAAATATGATTGATTGTATTAATTGCTGAATTTTTCGATAGTAAATAAATGGCCGGCAAACGACCTTCCCGGCAGTTGTTGGCCATCTGACACCGCGCACCGCGCTCTTCTCGCGCCTGTTCTTTTTCCTCTCTTTCGACGGCCATTGTTGTCCCTTTTATTCCCGCTTTTCTCGTCTGCCTTCACAAAATATCTGCGTGGTGCCGGATAATTCACAAGTGCGAACCCTACTGAATACTGAAAAAGAATATTTTAAAATTTTAGAGGAACAAATGATAATTTGAATTTTAAGAGCCTTTTCTGTTAGGCTGGCTAGCTTATCGAATCGGGCAAAATTTGCTAAAGAATCAATTAGTTGACAGTAGAACTACAGTTGAGCAGCTAGAAAGTTACTCGGATTTTCAAAGAACAGGCCTTTCTTCTTAATCAACCATTCAACAGTCCATTGATGCCACATTCTATCACTTTTTGCTTTCGCCGTTCAGCGATTCACTATCTTCTAACGAAGGTTCGGCCATATTCGAGCTTCTCGATTCTCGGTGGCAATAATCTTACAGTTGACTCACAGGCAATTTAATTTGATACAATCTATTTTAAAAAGTTTTACTTATAATCATAATAAAACATGATTTTATATTTTTTGAATTTTCAATTTAAATTTGTCCGCTGACTCAAATTTATGCTAAATAAGCTTTATAATTTTTTGGAAAATGTTTAAATTTTAAGTTTGCTTCGCTGTTAACAATTAGAAATCTTTGGCAGGGAGTACTTGGCTGTAGGAGATAGTAGGCAGTAGGCACGGGTGGGTCACCAGTACCACCACTTGGCCGGGACACTTTTTCAATAATGGGCTCATCCCTGTCAAAGGTGGGAGCTCTCCTCTCACTATAATAATATAAGTTGACGAGCAACTCCATGGTGTTCTTGTAAAGGATTGTACAAATAGGAAAAAGATAAAAATAGTGGTGCCATAGTTTTTGTCCAACCGCATTGTTTGGACAAAGATTATGCGTAGAAAATATGACAAAATAACCGTAGATTTACATAAATTAAGTTCAATCTCTTTCGTGATTTCACCTAAAGTGTACGGAATATTTCTGGAAAATTTTCCGATTTTTTAAGAATGCTTGTCAAATTTTTCATGATAATTAAATGAATTAACAGGTTATTTATTCTTATTTATTAAATTATAAAGCGTGCATTTGTCATTTGTCGGAGTTAATGGCAACGAATGGGGTCAAAATAACGAGGAATTTAAGTAAGAAGAAGAATATGAAAAAAGGAAAATAAACGATATTAAGATTGGGTTTAAGATTGCATGATTTCTTTTTTTATGATGTAGATGGTTGATGGAATCGGCTAAAAACAAGTGAGGAGAGAAGAATAATCTGTTGCAGTAGTGAGTGCTTGTGGGACAGGGCGCTGGTGGTAGAAAGCTCGCTGTTGCACGGCTTTAATTCATTACCTAACGTAGATTCAAGTTGAAATCGCAATGTTTAGCAGAGTTTAAGTTAGTTTATTGAATGAGAATGACTGCGAGAAGACAATGGCTAGGCTAGACGAACGTTGTTCACCGGTCAGTTTAAACTAAACCGAAATAGGTCAGATGCTAACCAGTTTAGTCCTTTTTGTGATGCTGGCTGGTAATGGATAAGTAAATGCGATCCGATCAAGACGTATGTGAGGTCATCCGAGCAGCTGAAGTTGTGTGTGCTGATGCTGTACTGCTTTTTGTCCCAAAGATGTGCTGAAACGTAGGATTCTTTAGCTCTGAGAATGCTTAGTTTTCCCTCATATCTCGTGAAGGGTTTTCTCAAATAAGGTGAGTGCTGAAGAAATTTACTCTATATTGCTGGTGAATAGTGAGTCAACTAAGATTTCTCTATAAGTTTTAGCGATATTTCAAAAAAATTAATGAATTACGAAAATTTTTGTAGATTTTATTTTTTTGCAGTTCATGTTTTTTTTTAATAAGTCAATGTGATTATTGAATGCATTAATTCCAGGAAAAATATAAAATAAAAGAGAGAAATTCATTTAAAAATAAATATTCGTATCGATCAGATGAATTTCGCTGCGGTTAATTTTATTTTTTTATTTAATCACATTACGGTGAATTTTTTTAAAAAAAATAAGAATAGAAAAGAATATAATCAAAAGAAACGAAGAACTCGAAGAACAGTACAGAAGATTACGACAATTAACGATTAAGTAAATCAGTACATCTGGAATGTGCACACAGTGGGCGGGCAATAGTCGAATTTTTTAGAAGTTTTTTAGTTGTAAAGGTCCTGTAGTGAAGATCAGGCAGGTAAGTGAATTTGGTTAGGTTTATTTCATTGGCTGTGGAACTTGGAGATATAAATAGAGGTGGGACCTCGGCACTATCTGCGTTTTTAATTACAGGTTTATCCCTGTTAGGTCCGAATTTTGTCGATAATTTTATTTTCTGAGCAACAGCAAAAACTGCTTATAAGTTAGGTGATAATTAGAGTGAAAATTAACTGGGAATCAAAAATTTTTTGAATGTTTTGAAATTTATCTATCGTATTGGTGAAAATTTTTTTTCTAAACCTTTCAATTTTTTCTGCAGTCTTTTTCCTCACAAATTATGTTTAAAAACAGTTTAAAAAAAAGGTTCTAAATTGATTTTTAGCGGTATTTGATCTTTTAAATCTTTTAAACATTGCCAATATTTTTGAATTTCAGTTAGTTCATGATTGTAACGTGCAGTTAGCACAATATCGTAATGCAGTACAGTGCATAGGGACAAGCCAAGATGGTGCTCAACTACGAAAAGATTTAGATACATACGGCAGAGCGTGCGTGCGCTCATGTGAAGCAGCTAAAAGTTGTGTTTTACCTCAACTTAGGCATGAAGGTTTCGTTTTTTCTAATTTATCCGATAAAATCAGGCAAAGATGAAGATTAATTTGTTAGTTCTAACCTTTAGAATACTTCCTTATTGCTAAAAAAAGGTAATTTAGTTGAGCAAAAGAACTTTCTTTTTGGCTGCTTTGTCTCGAAAAATTTTATTCTTTTTGAAATAACAAGAAGATACTTCCTTTTAAGTGGTATTGGAGAATTGATTATGATGTTTGCACTGGTTCACTAATCAATGCTGGCATACTAATTGTTAATTGTTACTAATTAACAATTTCGCTGCGATATTTAAATAACAAAAAATTGTTATCTAAATACGTTGGTCCATGTTGCATTACTTTTAATGAAAAAACCAAGTATATAAGTCGAAATAAATTTAATATTTGATAAAAGTAGTGTTTATAGCTCACCATTTCTAGTTATACCGGTTCTATTGGCTGTTACTAAGGTGAAAAAATTCAGGAAGTCACCTGGGGTACCACTACCATTTGGATTTTTAATTGACAGTTTTATTTCTATTGGAGATAGGGTTCGCATTTTAATGCGGCTGAAATGTGCTGTAACAACTTGTGCCTTTATCTATAATATTGCGTGGATACAAATTATATAAATATAAATATAAAAATATAAATAAAAATATAATTACAAAACCATGTTAATTTAGATAGAAAAGAAACAAAAAAAATGTGGTAAAACTAAATTACTTCTCTGAAAGTAATTTGATCATGATTTATCTTCAGGAGTGGAATTCACTAGACATGCTTCTCACTTTATTGGTTGCGTAAATGCTTGTGTTGTAGAGATGCGCCGTTGCGAGGCATTAGAACGGACGTTTCCTATGGGCGATCCTTCAGTAACTCCTCAGCAAATATCGCATATGGAGGAAATGCTTGAAACGCTGGAAAATTTAATAACGGTTCATTTTTCAACGAGTGAATCGTCACCTGCCGAACGTGTTACACCTCGTCGACGACGTGCTGCAAATTGTCGACCTACATGTGTTTGTTCAAAATTAAAAACAAGCTATGCCTAAAAAAAATTTTTCATTTTTGTGCGTAGCCAATTCTTGGCCAGTCAATTTTGCTTCTTAGTGAAATATAACTATTGTTTATTTATTAATTTTTTAGTCTAGATTATTTTAAATTTAATTTATTTTTTTTTAACCATAAGTAAGTGGTTCCGGGCGATGATGGCGACCCACCTGTATTTCTATCGTCAAAGGACCTTCTAGCACATTTTTCTAGTCTAAAAAGTCAGCGGAGCGAGTTTAATCGGCAATGGTGAGGGCTCTTAAAAAATAAAAAAAGAAAATAATTAAGTGATTAACTTTCATTATTTTTTAGTTACTCTTTAGCTATGTTGATTTTTATGATTTAAGAAATTTTTGAATGATTTACTTTTGGGTGTAGAACTTCGAATATAAACAATAATTGGACCAATAGCCTCAAGGCTATCCTTTCTTGGTTTTGGTTGACTGTAGCATGTACTTTTAAATTTTTTTATGGGATTAATCGAAAAATCCATCCGTTGATTTTTTATTTTAATTAGTTATTATTTTATTCTAAATTTTTCTAATATGAATTGTTATTAAGTTCAAATTTTTTTAGTTCTTTTTTTAAAACTAACTTACTGTTTCATAATTTTCATTTGATTAATTTAGTTATTATTATTGTTAATTATTGGTGTATGTCAGATTTTGAAAGAACTGATCTCAGTCAAATATTGTTATTTGCCCTAGAATTTTTGATTATTAATTTTGTGATTTGTGGCAATAAAGTTTCCATATTTACAATCATAGATAACATCAATTATTTTATTCAATAATTTCTATAAGATTAGTCCTTGCTTTTAATACAGTTGCAATGACTATTTGTAAACGGTTAACTAAGAGATATTCAGATTTTCCTGTGTTTTATAAATGCATTCATGCATTTATCCTTTCTTTCTCAGCTTTAAATGAATTGAAAAATTTTTAATTTTTCGATATTTTCGAAATATATATTTTCTTTGTTTTTAAAAATCTTTTTCCTAAAATATAAAATATGATTTCAAAAAAGTATAAAAATTTTTTTCAAATATTTTTATATAACAACTATGGATTGTTAGAGAAGCAAATTTTATATTTCACATACTAATTTAGTGCCATAATTTTTATGGTAAATTGGTGAGCTGTGATTATGCAAAAAACTACTGATGATCACAAAAGTTAAGACGGTTATTATTTGAGAAAGACATCGGAAAGAAGTGATTACTGCATTCTGCATTCGATAAAACCAAAGCTATTTAAGGAGACGGAAGCTGGTTTTAGTCATAAAATTTAAGGGTAATTACGAAAATTGGGTCGGAATCCCAGCCTTAACCAGATTCGAGTTTAAATCTGTTAGAAATCTAATAATTATCGAAAAAGGCGTGCAGTTCCAGGCCGTACTAGTCAGAAGGATCGGTTTCACTAGCGGTGGTGCGAGCGGTTAGAGGGAAGTGAAGACCGTGAATGAAAATAAATTGCTTTATAGCTAAATAACTTAACAAGCATCCTTTAGTTATTTCCTAATACCATAAAGGGGCATTTGATAAGAGTGAATGTTGAAACACGTAAATGCAATTTAATGTCGAAACCACTAATGGTATTTCTCCACTGTAGCTCGCTAGGATAAAAGCTGTGAAATTAAGAATTGCAAATGGAAAGATCGTCAGCAAATAGCAAGAGTATGAGCTATCTGGCGGAGACCTCGGATTTGCTGTTATTGCAGTTACAAACAACAAAATCACTAGTCTTCCACCAAATAAACTCAAAGTAAATCCATAATCACTTGGGAAAATTTGAATTTTGGGATTTAAAAAAACAATTTGAGCATCCAATCGTCGGTCTGAAGGCTATCGACTGGCACTCCGTGGAATCTTCGGAACCATTCTCACATTAATTATTGTCATAATTATTATTATTAATTAATATATTTTTACATTAATTTGTTAGTTAATTGTTTAATTTTTATATAATTATTTAGATTGTTCGACAGTATTTTCCAATTGGTTTTTTCTTTGCTTTATTCTGTATCCTTATGTATTCCATTTTATGCGCTTAAAAATATTGTAATAAAAAGATCTGCGAAGACTTTGTCAGTTTGCCAAAGATGAAAAGATTAAAAATCTCTATTTAGCTTGCATTTATTGAGAAAGGCTTTTCAGTTCTTCAAGTTGAGCCTCATGGCTTCGTCTTTTTTATTTGGGTTCAGAACCATTATCAAATCATTCAGTTACTGGTTAGCGCTGAGATATAATTTGAAAAAAATATGGTCTCGTACACCCATCAGTTTTTCGTTTATTAAGCATTTTAAAATAAATTTAATTTTTCTGATCTATTTTTAAAGATATTCATTTCTATAATAATTATTATGCAATTTTAGATAGTGAAATTAAAATGTGGACGAAAAAAATAAATATGGTGCATATCTGTGGATAAAACCTCAAAGAAATGCATGCTTATATAAGTGCTAATCAGGTTGGGCACTTCGAATTTCCCGTCCCACCTCAGGCAAGTATTCATAGTCATTTCCTGGGCTTGCCTTCGTGAAAATTTGTGTGACCAAAAAGAAGTTTATATTCTTTCCATTAATAAGGGAATTAGGAATGGAAAAAATAAAATATAATTGGAAACTAGGAAAAATAACGAGAAACAATGGCAAATAAATTCCCAAATTCGAAACAAATTTACCTGAGATAGCACAGAATTTTGGCGTAACGCCATCCCAAGAAAGCCAATTCTGCCGATAAAAATTATATTAAATTGAACTTTTCGGTTACGTGAGCAGCATTAATTTATTCATAAATAAGTGAACTGTTCAGTGGCAACGTTGGATTACCAGCAGGGAAATATTGCATCGTTAAGAGATGTATATTATGAGAAAAAGGGAAGAAATCAAGTATCTATGTGATACCGTATCGCATAGCGCTGTCCACATAATCGACATTTGCCAATTTAATGAAATAATAAATAAATCGCAATCTGTATTCGATATCCTTTTCTGTATTAAAAAATTATAAAGTGAAAATTCTGCAAAATTCAGTCTAAACATTTCATTTATCGCCCTTTTATTCTTTTTTTCAACCTAAATTTGTTCCTCTTAATTTGTTCCCACTAACGCATCCAGAAACGATTGGCATTTATCAGTAATTCATAAAGGGAGTTGCTGATCTATGAAACAGTCAGTTTCCAATTTTTCTATCGCAAGATTTGCAAAAGATATTCAGTTGCCAGAGAATTTTTTTCATTTCGCAAAACTTGAAAAATATGCAGTGAAACTACCACCATCTTTTCAATTTCGCCTTGAATTTTATTAGCCTCAATTCATTTGACAAATATAAGAAATGGATGCGATGTGTAAAATGTTTAATGCTTACTTCTGATTAGGCTGGCATCACTGGCTGTTAGTACGATTAGTACGATTTCGCTGTGGAATCTCTTGGCAGTAGAAATGCAATTAGGTTGGCAGCAACGCGCAGAATAGGTACAGTATGAGAGTAAGTTATATGAGATTTCAAATGGTCCTTTCTAAACCAGCTTCGTCATTTCTTGCTTACTACCTTTTTAAACAAAAACGGTACTTACAAGAAAATAAGAAAATAATGAAACATTCGTCTTATCTTCTAACTTGAAAAAGTCCAATATGATGGTACATATGATATAAAAAGTTAATTGATGGACAAGTGGTCATCGAGTTAAGTAAGTAAGAACAATATGTAAAGCAAAAAGTAGCAGCAGTACTTTAACATTAAGAGTAACTGTGCTTGAACACGGTCAATCCATCGTTGTCTAGGAAACAATCGATCTAATTAAATTTTTCACTAAAAACATTTTCCATCAAAAGAAATTCACTAATTTTATAAATTACAATCATTATTTCAGTTTTTTCCACCTTAAAATCCTTTCTACATTATTGCACGATTATAATGAACGAAATGAAATTATCGCGCTAATCTCGCTAATCTAATATTATACACTCGCTTGTTATTATTATTCCTATTATTATTATCATTTTTATTGTTGTTATTATCATTATTATTATCAATTTTATTTTCATATCATTTTCATTATTACTGTTATTATCGATATCATTATTATTTCCATAATGATAATAATAATAATAATAATAATAATAATGAGAATAGAGACCTGTCATCTCAACTTCTATGCCTAATGAATCTTGACGAAAATTATCAGACCAATGGAGTCAGCAGAATCAGAAAAATAGTGTTGGTAGAAAGCGAAAAAAGAAGATGAAATATTGAATATTACGATAATATAATACTATAAAATATCTTAAAATATTAATAATAACTAATATTGTATCAAAATAATAACATAATATGAAATTAATACGTATTCAAAAATCATTTTAAATAATTTGTATTAAATGCCATTAAAATTACTAACGAATGTTTGAAAAATTTGATTATTTTTTAAATATTAGAATTATAAAAGAGAAAAAAAATTGATTTTATGAAATTCAAATATTTTTCAAATTAATTTTATGTACTTCTCATTATTAAATTAACAAATTTTTTCTTTGAATTTGAAAAAGAGTCTAATTTTTCATTGTGATTTTCCATTTTATTTTTAGCTCCTTAATCGTTCACATAATTTAAAGAGTCGACCAGAAAATTTGGATTTTCTGCTTTAAGCTAAACTGTTTTCTTCGCTGAGGCCAAATTAAATTTTGCTCTAATTCTCCTTAATACCGAGTGGATTAATTATTTCTTCCAAGGAAAGAATTATAACATTGGCATAACACGTTTAACCTGCACTCATGCATTTCGACACCTTATTTAGACAAAAACAATAGGCAGTTTATCATTTTCCATTCTTAAGTCTACTTCCATTCTATTTTTTAAAAAATATTCATTGGAGATAATTAAGGAAATAGACAAGTGGAAGTAATCAAGACATTTAAAGGCATAAATTCTCTTATTTCTCCAACAGGATTAAGACCATCATAAATTCAGGAATTGCTCATCTCTATTGTCGCCTAAGTTAGT